ATGCTCTACTAAATACGCATAGTGGTGTAGGGTATCATATAGTCGGCCCCTTCCGACTTCCGAAGGCTGAAATTTTGCACACACGTTTATTAGGTTTACGTTTTCATACAGCCCCCATATAACGGTACCTCCCGATATTCGGTATTTTGCTGATGTAAGTGACATTATTAACCGGAATTGTTTCAAATTTGGTATTTGAAGTTCGTAATGGATACAGAATATTGTCTGTGCAGGTCCGCGTCTTCGTATAGCTACCCTATAACGGTACCTCCCAATATTCGATATTTTGATGATTTTAGCGTCATTATTGACCGGAGTAGTTTCAAATTACGTATTTTGAGTTCGTAATGGGAACTACAGTCTGTGACGCAATATTGTCTATGCAGGTTCAGGTCTTTGTATAAGCCACATATATCAGTACCTCCCTATATTCGGTATTTTGACGATTTTAGGTACAATACTCACAGAAATTGTTTGAGATATCATATTTGAATTTCGTAATGGATGCTACAGCCTATGACACAAAATTGTCTATGCAGGTTCAGGTCTTCGTATAGCTCCGATATAACGGTACCTCCCTATATACGGTATGATTAATAATTTTAGCTATGTTATTCACCGTTTATTTCAAGTTTCGCATTTGAATATGGTAATGGCTTATAACAAACAATGCCTATGTAGGTCCACGTCGTATAGACCCCAATATAACGGCTATATTCGGTATTTTTAAAATTTTAAGAGAATTTAACGGAGAATTTTTAACGGATTTCATATTTTGAAAATTTTCAAATTCATTCCAAATGGTGGAGGGTATTCAAAGTTCGGCCCAGCCGAACTTACTGCTTTTTAATTTGTTAATTTTAAATAAGTATTATTTTTTTATATTCAATATCCACAAAACAAATTAATTGCCTATCTTCATCAATTTACCCATTCTTATTAGTAATGGAAAATTGTTTTTCCAGCATTTTTCTTTTTTGTCTCTATTAGTTTCCTTTCAATCGAATGTTTCTTTTATTGTTATTCGCTGATGTTAGTTTTTCTCTCTCTCCCTCTATGTCGAGTCGGAAAACGTTTGCAATTTATTACAACGAGATTTTCTATTTCACCGTGAAGAGCTGGGCTCCCTAATTTGTTTCTATTGCTTTGCTTTGGCATATTCCATGCGGCAGATATTAATGTCTGATATCATTAGAGGCGATGCCACCATCAAACGATGCTGGAGTTTATTTTCCCCTTTTTTCTCGTTTTTTTTTTTTTTTTTTTCTATAAAACGTCAGGAGTTCTTTTGAAGGAGAGAAAAACTTGAAACCTTGCAACCTGATGCAGCAACAACTCCATCAATAACAAAATCCAGATGTTGTCACCAACAGCAACTGGGGAAGAATATAACAAGCGTTTGGCAAAGACGCCAAGTCGAAAAATGAAACACAATAAAGTAAAGAGAAAAAATCATGGATATCAATCACAGCCCAGGAGAAGGAGAGAGAGAGAGAGAGAGAGAGAGAGAAGAGAGTATGAGTGTGTGTGTGTGAGTGCATCATGGGAAAAAATAAGATATGGTAGTGATAGAGGAGTGATATTGTAACTATTCGAAGTAACAGTGTGTGTTCATGTGTGTATATGTGTTTGCTTTATAAATTGCCCCAAGGATTAAGGACGAAAACCTCCAACTAATGCCGGGTTTCGAGACAAAATAATAAAATGAAATTCCATTCCCATGCCATGCTGCCAGGCAGGTCCCCAGTATTTTTCCTTAAATTGTGGTTAGCATTGAAAAATGAAGTGTTTTCATGTGGGTGGGTGTGTGTCATTGTTGCTTTTTTGCTTTTCTTGTGAGTGACAATATTTTCATTTCCTGACAGACTAAGTGTGAGGTTTTTCTTCAGCTATTTCATCAATAAATTTCTTTTTCATTTTTATGTCTTCCTTTTCCGTTTTCCACTTGCATGCCTTGCGATTTGCGCGCCCGCTGACACAAGACATTAATCAATTTCTCATCTGCAAAGGTTGGGGGGAAGCTTTATTGCTAAGGAGGTAAACAGAATTATGGTGGGGAGGGGGGTAGTTGGGGGAGTGGAGCCACTTGCTCAAAAAATATTTGTTTTATTTTCATTCGTTTGTTTGTTCGCCTGCCAACCAAGTGGCATGGCGGTGAGTTATGTGTTTGTTTTCGTCAGCCAGCAGCCGGGTGATAAATTTAACAATATTGACATTTTCGCAAAGGGAAATGCACCGAAAGATCAATTTTTATATTTTTCAATATCGCAGTTACTGGCTTCAATATTAATGGTAATATTTCTAAATGTTTTGAAAAAAGCGGAGAAAATCCACATTTAAAGAAATCCCTAAAAACCAAAAATTATGACATAGCAAATGAAATATTTAATTTTTCACATCAAATAAACCTTTTCAATCACATCGAATGAAACCTAGGATCAATCATATACGTATATTTATACTAAAAAAAATATGCAGTGAATATTTTCAAAAAATCAATGGTTTCTGCCAGGTATTCCTTAAAAAATCTTGACCCTTTGTGGGAAAGGTACCAGAAAGAATGAACCGATATATTCCATCTTCAGAACAGATCTTGAGTTAGTGGAAATAATGGAATGTGTGAAATATGAAGAGAACCGGATGCTTATTTCGGATTTTATAATTGTTTTGGTTATTCAAAACTTTTGAGGGAGGTATAAGAAGGAACGGTCCGATCTCTACCATCTTTATAACAGATCTTGTGTTGATAGAAATATTGAGATGTGCCAAGTCTGAATGGAATCGAATGTTAAAATTTTTTTATGAGCTTCATGGATATTCAAAATATTAACCCTTTTTAGGGGAGGTGCCGGAAGGAGTGGACCGATGTATTCCATTTTCTCACCAGAAAATGAGTTTACAAAAATGTTGTGATGCGTGTAATTTGAAGACAATGGGATTTTATTGGAGTTATAATTTTACAATATGATGACCCTTCGTGGGGGAGGTACTTAATGGAGTAAACCGATATTGTCTATTTTCCTAACTGACCTAGCACTGATAAAAAAATGAGGACTTGTGTTAATAAAAATATCGGGATGTGTGAAATTTGAAAAGAAATCGTACGCTTATTTCGAGTTTTTAGAGAATTTTGTTATTAAAAAATGTATCCCTCTGTGGGGGAGGTACCAGAAAGAGAGGATCGATATATCTCATCTTCATACCAGATATTGTGTTAATAGAAATATTGGTATGTGTGAAATCTTTAGAGAATCGGATGTTTCTTTTGGATTTTATTAAAGTTACAATTATTAAAAATTCTGAACCATTGTGGGGGAGGTACCGGAAGGTGTTGTCCAATCTCTTTATAACAGATCTTGTGTTGATAGAAATATTGAGATGTGCCAAGTCTGAATGGAATCGGATATTAATTTCACGTTTATGTTGACCCTTTTTGGGGCAGGTACCAGAAGGAGTGGACCGATGCATGCCATTTTCACACGAGAATTTCCATTCACTATCTGTGCAGTATTTATTTTTATCTTCGACCTTTTGTGGGGGAGGTACCAAAAGATTTTCTCCTAACTCGATCTAAGTTTGACAACAATTTTATGATATACCAAGTATCGTGCGAAAAACCAGCCAGGTAAACAGATAGACGGGCGTATGGACGGACACCCTTAGATCGACTCCAACTGCCCTGAAATGGATTTGTTCCAAAGAGACCTAGGGTCATTTTAGCCGTATCAAATGACATAGGGTGAGATAAAAAACTGCAACAAAGAAAAAGGCCATAATTTCTATTTTTTTTTTTTTTTAATTTTATTGATTGAAAGCACAAAATGTCGGAAATAGCATCAAATTTTAGAATACGTTTATATTTGTTCGAATTGGTCACCTTTGGCATGAATTATGGCCTTCAAACGACCAATGAAACCGTCAGACGCTGCCCGAATGTTGCTCTGCGGTATTTTGGCTCATTCCCGGCGAAGCGCTTGCTTAAGGTGATCGACACTCTCGTATTTTTTAGTGCCAACCTTGCTTTGCAAAATACTTCGATCATGTCGCTTCTTTACTTTTCGAAAAATTTCTGCTGATGTTGCTGTTTTCTTCCGTCCACTTTCTCGACGTCGGGCTACGCTGCCAGTATCACGGTAACGAGCGATGGTACAAGGCACAAAAGATTTATTCACATTTAAACGCTGGAGTGCTCTAACGATAGCCACTTGTGGTTTTCCAGCCAATCATCAAAATCAAATCACACTATCACGCTTGAATTCCTTCACGGATAACTTTTTTTCTGGAAAATTCTCACCAAAATGCTTTTGTACGCTTTTAAATAATATAATGAGATGTCACTGGAATAATTTTAACAGCTGTCGGACGAGAAATGACAGCAGTCTGAAGTTGGTTGCAGTTTTTTCACCTCTCCCTGTATATACCCTCTCTAGCCATATGGCTGAGGGAATAAAAATGTAATTGAATCCTTTCCATTTATTTATGCTTAAGCAAGTGTCAACTGTTGTGGTCGTTCCCGTGCAATTTTCATTAATTTTCAAAAATGTTGTTCAAATTCGTATTCGTGCAAAAATGCCACATTGAAAAAATGCTCGATTATTTTTCTGCTAGAGCGCTTAGCAATGTTGACACTAAAACACACGCACGCACACACACACTCATACCCATTGTTTATGTTAACAAAAGTAATAAATATTTTGCACTCCAATTCTTTGCAATACGACAACAGCCATACAAACTTTCCTTTGTGTGCAAAACACTAGCACACATACACACACACACACCTGCACACTAATGAACGTAAAACACAGAAGCAGGAATTTGGAAAAACAACAAAGCAGAGATGTTGTTTTGTTGCACTTCTCCTTTTTTCTTTTCTCTTTTCTTTTTTTCCCCCAGTTGTTGGCGGGCGAAAAACAAGACTTTGCTATTGTTACTAAATCACATTTGTTTGTTAGTTTAGTTTCTTACGAGTTGTGTTTTCTGAATTTCTTTCTTTGTAGCACGGATGAAAATGACGATAAAATGGCGTCAGAAGTATAAAAATCGAAAAAACATGCAACTGCCACTAACGCCACCACCAACATTGCCACAACTACCAGAAACACAACAACAGCAGCAGCAGCAGTACTATGAGGAACAATTCCACCACCTCCAACCGGATACTATACGGGGGAAATTGACACTGACATCAACAACAACGTCATCATCATCATCATTGCACCATGAAAACAACAACAACAACTCCATTCCAGTAACAACAATCAAAGCTTTAAGCCACAATCTTCAGCCAGGCCAGCACGTCAACAATAGCAGCAATTTTAGATGCTCTGCCAGGGCATGCAATAATACCACGATGTTGTCTGAAACGAATAGTCGAGCGGGTAATGCCAACGACAAACAACAGCAACAACAACAAAAACGACGACACGTACGCCAGCACATTGACAAATATACGAGCGACGACATCGAGCATTCGAACACATGTGCCGTTCAAAGTTCAGTGCCACAGGATGCGTTGGAGCAACGGAGAGAACAGCTGCAACCGAACTTTGCATCAAGACAATGTAGAGCCACGAAAACGCTTAATGGAGAATGGGAAGTGGCCATAAAATGGCGCCACTTAACAAACATGCAACAGCAACAACAACGGCAGCAACACATCGCTTGCTGTGACAAAGGCCCCAACAAACACACAGCCAACGAGCAAATCTGGCAACAATGTGGGCAAACCAATGGACCAACAAATAAAACAGCAACATTAATGCCAACAACAACAGCAACAACTGCAACAATTACAACGATTATTGACACGATATTAACTCACTTGGATGCTGCCATCAATCTAACAACATTTGCCAGGGGAGAGGCCATGGCAACGCCCCGCAACTCCAGAAGGGCATCCCACAAAAGTCATCAACTGCCAACAGCAATTGTTCTCGCTTTAATATGTTTATTAACATCTGCCATAGCAGCATCAGCCGCAGCTTCAACCACAATTTCCTCTAATGCCACATCATCAACATCATCGTCTTCATCCACAGCATCAACCATTCCAGTGATGTCATCTTCTGTGAGCAATATTAGCAATACCTCCTCCTCAACCACGGCAGAAGAACCCATAATGGCTGCAGTTTTATCTGGCGGCTCCTCTTCATCGTCATCGTCTTTAACATCCGGTTCCTCACTGGCCCACGATTCCCAGCAATCGGCCAAGTCTTTGCCAATGCTTGCCTCCACCATCCCCCAGTGTACCCTCTCCGAATTTAGCTGTTCGAATGGTCGATGTGTTCCTCTCAGCAAGTATTGCAACAATGCCAACGACTGCGGCGATGGCAGTGATGAGCCGCGATTTTGTTCACGTAAGTAATATTGAGTCGAAACTGATGTTATATTTGTTTTTGTTTTAAAGTAAGCGATATTAAAATAGTTCCCTAAGGACCTTGAAAACTTTTGGAAGAGGCCACATGAGCTTGTCATCAATATAAACAAGCAAAAATAGCTGTAAGTTCGAACTTTTAATACCCTCGACCATATGGAACGAATTTGGCAATTTTCAAAATCCGTTAAAAAATTCTGTAAAAATCTTAAAAATACCGAATGTAGCCATTATATTAGGGTCTATGCGATGACGTGGACTTGCATAGGCAACCTTTGTCATAAGCCATTACAATATACAATTGCGAAACTTGAAAAAAATCGGTGAATACCAAATATAGGGAGGTACTTTCATATGGGGGCTACACCAAAACGTGGACCTGCACAGACAATTCTCTGTCATAAGCTGCAGAATCCATTACAAACTTAAAATACCAATTCGAAACAATTCCAGTGAATAATGCCGCTAGAATCATCAAACTACCGAATATTGGAAGGTAACGTTATTATGGGGGCTATACGAAGACATGGACCTGTACAGACAATTTTCTATCTTAGGCTGTAACTTCGAAATTCCAATGCCAAATTTGAAACAATTCCCGTGAATAATGTAGCTAATATCATAAAAAAATACCGAATATCTGGAGGTACCGCTATACGGATACGTGGACCTGCACAGACAATTTTCTGTCATTTCAATATTCAAATGCGAAACTTGAAAAAAAATTCGGTGAATGAATATGTCGCTAAAATCATAATACCGAATATCAGGAGATACCGTTATGTGAGGGCTATCCGATGATGTGGACCTGCTCAGACAATTTTCTGTCATAGGCTATAATATTCATGACGAACTTCAAATATTAAATGTGAAACAATTTCGGTGAATAATGTCGCTTAAATCACCAAAATGCCGAAAATAGGGAGGTACCATTGGAGGCTATACGAAAACGTGGACCTGCGCAGACAATTTTCTGTCATATGCTGTAGTATCTATTACGAACGAACTCTCAGGCAGAGATTTTTGCTGTCAGAATGGCCATAGAGCTGTTGGAAAACAGAATCAATTAACGGGATGGACCGGTGACTATATATGTCGATAGTCAAGCGGCCCTAAAAGCTCTAAATTCTTTTATAATCAAATCTATGGCTGTTCTGGAGTGCAAGATTGCCCTGGAAAAGGTAAAGTCGTTTGTCAAGCTCTGTTGGGTTCCTGGACACTGCAACATTTCTGGCAATGAATCTGCCGATGAATTGGCCAGACGCGGATCTGAGTCAGTAGATCTAGAAATTGAGACCTCAGTGAAGCCACCTTTATGCCACTTCTTTAAAGTATTTCATAATAACTATCTTGGGAGATTTCAACAAAACTGGCTATCTGGAAGGGGATGTAACATCTCCAAAAAGATTTGGCCAGTGAACTCAGAAAAGAGATCACGGTCACACACATACATGACGAAGTTGGACCTGAAGCTTGTGGTGGGTCTAATTACAGGTCATTGCAACATAAAGGCCATGACTTCAAAATGGGGGCTGACGACACTGAATACTGCAGGCTTTGCCAAGATGAGGAAGAAACAGAAACGGTGGAACACTTACTCTGTCACTGTCCTACCCTGATCGGAGTAAGACATAGGCTTCTAGATAAGCAAATTCTGCCGGATTTGCCATGCCTCTCCGAAACCGAGCCAGTAGTTATTCTTCAGTTAGCCAGAAGACTAAAATGGCTAAGGACGACACGCTGACTACACCGTGGATGCAAACCCACTAAATCTTTTATTTCCTATCTATTCTACTCTAACCTCCTAACTTTTTTCACATTCATTTCTTTTTTCTTAATTAGGATGATCACAATGGGCCACTAGGTCTCCGAGTGGAGTGGTTGTTTTTACGCAACCACACATCCTTCAACCTAACCTAACCTAATCTATTACGAACTTTAAATACCAAATTTGAAACAATTCCGGTGAATATATGGCGCTAAAATCATGAAAATACCGAATATTGGGAGGTACCGTTATATGGGGGTTATACCAAAACGCGGACCTACATGGCCCATTTTCAATGCCAAAAGTCCTGCAGACATAATATGTATTTCAGTAAAATTTTATCAACCTACTTCATTTCGTTCAGAAGCTAGAGTGATTTCCACAGAGCTGCAGACGGACAGACTGATAGACGGACCGACATCGATATAAAATTTCATTATGATCAAGAATATATATACTTTGTGGGGTCTAAAATGTTAGGTGTTACAAACGTAATGACAAACTTAATATACCCTCCATACTATGGTCGAGGGTATAACAAAAGATTAATGAAATAACTGACTGATTGAGAATCAACGCCCAGATGAAACAGCTGAAGCTAAAATTTTGAAATTTTGCAAAAGGGTCAGTCTTGCTGCGAAGGTGTGTAATTCGTACTAAAAGTACTAAAACGTACTAAAATGTAATGCTTTGTATTGGACAAACGGAATGAGCTAGAATGCTGAAACATGGAATGAGAGTAATTGAAGGAGTGCAGGATAGATGTAGCAAAGGTTTACGAAAAGTTCCGAAATGGTACCAAACTTCTAAAATTGTAACACTTTGGAATTATATGAACGGATAGAGCCAAAAACTTGGAATTTGGTATAAGACTCAAGGTTGGCATCAAGGTTTTATATTTGAAGGCAGTTTTGGAAATGTGTACAAATTGCGCGAACTATACTAAATTGTTCTAAGTTTGGAGCAGTTTGGTTTAGGGTGAACGGATAAAGCTAAAATTGTGGAATTTTGTATTAGGATCCCTGTCGGTAGTACGTTTGTGATAAAGAGTAGGTTTTGAAAATGTGGACTAGAAGTGCCCAGAAAGTACTAAATAGTACAACTGTTTGGTACAATTTGGTATTGGGTGAACAGATAGTGCTTTAAATCTGAAATTTTGTATTCGGGTCGCTGTTAATGCACAATGTATTCGGAGATTTTGGTGGCCATTGTGTGCTGGAAATTAGCGAGGAACCTCATTTTGTAACCATTCTTGTGTGGAATGTCCAAGGTCTGCGGCCAAAATGTCTGCTTTAATACACCCTCCAGAATATTTTCGCGATAATATTCAGCATTTATTCTGATGCCACGGTCGATTAATACGAGCGGAGAGCGGCCATCAGCTGTAATGGCGACCCACACCATCACCATGGACGGTGCTTGAGTTCTGGTGGCCAACCGAAGTTGCACTTTTTCAGCTGACCTCTTTAGCAAGTAAACACGATCATTTTGTTTGTTTGCAAACTGCTGGACAACGACTGCTTTTTCATCGCAGAAAACCACTTTCGGCCTAGCGAAGCAACTCTTTAGAGTCTATTTTCTTTCCATTGCGGTGTAAGTTCTTGCACTTTTTGGAATTTCAATGGCTTCTGATGTTGCTGTTTTCGTTCGTCCACTTTCTTGACGCAGGGGTACGCTACCTGTATCACGGTAACGAGCGATGGTACGAGATGGGATTGAGATATGGCAGTTTTTATAATGTGTACTGTAATTGTACGAAAAATACTAAATGGTACCAAATTTGGTATTGAGTGTAGTAATAGGGCTGGAATCCTTAAAATTTGATATTGAGATCTCTATTGGTATCTAAAGTTAGGGCTTCAGAGCAAAAACTATGATTTGTTAAAAAAAATCTCTCCAAGAACTCCCAGAGTTGTTTTCTAAGGACTATAGCGATAGATTGTCCGAGTTCCTGGGCATATAGGACTGTTAGAGCTATATCCATGAAGGGTGTGAGAGCTATGATTGTTGGGTTTTTTTAGGTATATGTTGTGAGGGCTTTTTAAATATTTTCAGATCAATAAACTCTGAAAATGAATACTAAATTACAAACTCGAGCTATTGACGTGGATTTTTAAAGAATATGTCCAATGGAACTAAAGATATTCTCCTGGATGTTAAAGAATGTTTCCAAAGGATTTTTGGATTTGAGGTACTATCAGTAAAGAATCCTCCCCAGGAATAATGTATTGTTAATAGTATTTGCTAAGGATTTCCAGAGCAATGGTCATAATTCTTCCGAAGAATGTTTTTTTCCAGCAGTTAGATTTTTAAATATATATTTCAAGTACCCTTAGAGTTACATCCATGAATTTCTTAAGACAAATTTTCAAGGGTTATCAGATCTTTAAATGTTGATTTAGAAAAAAAAAAATATTTTCAAAGGTTTATTTTTAAAAAGGATTTTTAGAACAGCAATTGTGAGTTCTTTAAAAATAATTTCCGAGGAGTTTCGCATAGTAATAATCGTGGATTGAAATGACATTTTTTCAAGGACTATCAGAGATTTTATCTCGAATTTTTTAAAGGACGTCAGATGCATTTTTTATTGTCTTCCAGAGATATTATTTTTAAGAAAATTTCCCCAGTGACAATTTCGAAGAAGTCCTCTTAGAAAATTACAATCAATTCATCCACACCATGAAGTTCTGATTCTCCTTAAAATATTACAATTCATTAAATTTGTATGTATGTGTGTGCAATCATGAGGAAAATGTAAGGCAGTATTGATTTATTTTCGATTGAAGGTATTAAGGTAATCGTATAATTGATATGACTTGTGGCCATGGCGTCGATTCAATATCTTAAGTATGCAATAATATTAAGCCCTTATGAGACAGTACCTTTAGGATACAAATAATATTTAATTAGTACTCCATTGATATAGGACCTAAAGCAACATGAATTGGATTGAAATTAAAATGCTGTGACAAAACCAAACAACTTAAAAATGCTAACCCTTTCTCATGAGCATGGCTATTGAAGTATAAATTAATTTTTCCCCTAAAACATCCTGAACGAAAAATATATTTTTTTAAAATTAGTTTAGAGCAACATAACTAGATTTTGCTGCTGACATTTAATTAATGGATTTTAAGTAGTAACAAAAACAATATTTTGTAAAAACTGCGAACAGGAATTTTATTTGTTATTTGTTGTAATATTTTTTTTGTTGT